TCCACTTTATTATTGCTTTCTGGCCCACATGTGATAACGTCCATAGATTCAGACCAGCCAGACTCCCTTGGAATATATTTCAGTGAGAGGTGAACTTCATACAAATGCTTTGGAAGACTGAGGTTCATTTGTCAAGTGATTGATTCCAGATTATCTAGAACATTGGTTCTTAACTTGTAGTCTGCTCATAAAGGATCCTCAAAAGCAGCAGCATTCCTGCACCAGGTGTTACCCGATGTGTGTGTGTGGGGTGGGGAGTCGGGCTAGCAAGAGATGGGACTTCTGGTGGGTAGGGCTTCTGGGGTGGTGCATGCTCCCTCTCCCCATGCTACCCCCTGTGTGTGCCACTCCATCCTCCCACACATGTTCCAGTCTGCTCCCTGGAGATTGAACGCGCGGTGAGTTGAGTGTTTGTATGGGGCATGGAGCACATGGGGCATGGAGCGGTGTGTGCAGAGTGTGTGCACATGGGGAGGGAGCGTGGAGGATGGTGGTGGGGCTGACTTCATGTCATGCCCTCTTGGGACATCACCCAGTTTGCCCTGCACTCCCTTAGTGACGTGACTTCTCAAAAGCTTGAAGGTTGCTCAGACCACCTACCTACCTACAGTGGAGCAGCCAAATGACAGGAAACAAGGCGCAGGCAGGCAGGCAGGCTGGCTGGCTGGCTGGCTGGCTGGCTGGTCCTATATGTTGTGTTGCCTGTGATGCAGCCTTTCCACTGCAGGGAGGGGGTGGGCAGAAAGTGTTAGAATTATGGTTTTGTTATTTGTGGTTAAATCAGTTTAGTAGCAGCAGCAGCAGCAGCAACAAGTGTGTACTTCACAGGTATTTGGTAAAAACAACTAGATCTGAGTTTCTGGCAAATAAACAGGATACATAAGTAGATAAAAGGAAACTTAGGGCCTGTGCAGACTGGCCCAAAGGACTGGCCTGGTGGCACAGTTGGGGCGGGGCAGCTATTCCCCCCCCCTTGCATGCAGGGGCTGCCATTTCCCCCCCCCCTCGGCCCGCGGAAGACCTGGAGGCCAGCGGACCGGCCCCAGGTAAGAAAAACTTGCCGACCCCTGCCATAATGTATCACTTTATAGCTAAGGGGGAATAATTTAATTGCTAGGAACTAAAGAAAGTTTGTAGTATGAAGGGCATCCTGTTTCTTCTTGTATTTTCTCTTCCTGAGTAGAAAACTGTGTAGTTGTCTAAGTCAAAGTGACCCATTCCTATCCATTTTAGCTCACTCACCCCTAGTATTGTTATGTCTGTGCATTCCAATTGCTATGTCAATGCATTAGAATGTACAAGCCATTGTATTTCCCATCACTATGTATGGGTGCAAGAGCAGGACAGTGAAAAAAGTGGATAAGAATAAAATTAATTCATTTGAGATGTGCTGGAGAAGAGTGCTGAGAATACTGTGGACCAGGGGTAGGCAACCTTTCCCCTTTAAGGGCCGAGGGACTTCAGCTCCCAGAAGCCTCAGCCATGTTGGCCAATAGTCCCATTTTGGCCAATAGCTCCTGGGATTCTGGGAGCTGAAGTCCCTCGGCCCTTAAAGGGGAAAGGTTGCCTACCCCTGCTGTGGACAGTCAAAAAGACAAATGGATCCTTGAACAGATCAAGCCAGAAATGTCATAGGAAGCCAAGATAATCAAACTGAGGCTGTCATAATTTGGCCACATCATGAGAAGAAAGGCAATAATACTAGGAAAAGTGGAAGGATATAGAAAGAGAGGAAGACCACGTGCTAGATGGATGGGCTATTAAGGAGGTCATGAGTATGAAACTTCAGGACCTAAGCAGAGCAGTGGAGGATAGGGATTCTTAGAGGTGTCTCCTCTACAGGGTCACCCTGATTCAGGATTGACTTGAAGGCAGTTAACAACAGAGACAGTTTATACTGGCATATGATTTATGGTGCCTCTGTATTTAGCATTATTGTTAAGCCCATGAATTAGCAGAAAGGTTTAAATCTAAAAGTGGGGCTATGTTTTTAAAAAGGAGGATGATACAAGATGTGAAAAGATCAGACATGATGTAGATTGGCCCAAGGTATGCCTGAGGCTGAACAGCAAAGCCCCTCACCTGGGCAAGGCCAACTGAGGTATTTTGGCACTTCAAGCAGAAAAAAACACTTTCCCCTCCATCTCCCTGGCAGTTATCTAACAACTGTAAAGTAGTAACTGTTTGCCACCTTTTCATGGTATCCAAACTCTTCTGTTTGGGGAGGCTGCCTCATTCTACATAGAGCTGGCCTTGAGGAAGTTACTTATTGGAATTCATTAATTTGACACATGGTCTGCTCTTTCAAACACACATCAAATTAATGGGTTCTGGCTATAATTAAAAAGAGTCAAAAGAGTAGAAGAATATTATAAACACAAATATACATGTACTGTACTGTGTTATAAGCACATGATGATACCACAAATGAGTGATTACTTTCTGTGGGGAGAAAAACAATTGAGTGAACTGAAAAGATCTATCTTATGTAGAGCATTGTAAGACAGCCAGCATGGTGTAGTGGTTTGAAGATTTTACTAGGACTCTGAAGACCAGGGTTCGATTCCCAGTTCAGCTATGAAACCCACTGAGTGACATTGGGCAAGTCACACTCTCTCAGCCTCAGAGGCTGGCAGTGGCAAATCCTTTCTGAACAAACTACCAAGAAAACCCTATCATACTTTTGCCTTAGGGTTGCCATAAGTCAGAAACAACTTGAAAGCACACAACAACAACAAAGGGCCTTTGCAGACTGCGAGAAATAGTGCAAATTGAGTCCACTTTAACTTCCCTGCCTCATTGCTAGGGAATCATGGGAACTGTATATTTTTCTGAGACATTGAGCCTTCTCTATCTGGTGCCACAATAAACTACAGCTCCCATGATTCCCTAGCACTGAGTCAGGGCAGTTAAATAGACTCAGTTTGCACTATTTCTGGCAGTCTGCAAAGGCCCAAAGAGTATGGTAAGGCAGTCCACACATTTTATACCTCTCACCTTTTCTCTGAGGTGCTTAAAGCAATATGCATGATCCCCCCGACTCCTCATTTTATCCTCACTACAAGCCTGTGATATATTGGGCTGAGGGACTGGCTCAAAGGGAAGTAATACAGTAAGGTAAATGGGGATTGGAAATGAGGATCTCTTCATCCCAGTTTGAGACTCTAATCATTCTACAACATGGCTTTAGGACACTACGATAAAATATTTTCTCCAATTCCTTCTTGCCCATGGACCCAAAATGGTCTTGCCAAGTGCCAGTATGACCTTTGCTAGGCATCTGATAATGAATAGCAACTGACTTAGCCGAAGCACAACTCTGCCCCTTGTGGTAGATGAGGTAAGTCTGTGTCTATGTTGTGCCAGTTTCTTTCCCTCAATCATCCATGTGCACTAAGATTCGAAGGAGACGGGCCCAAAGTGCTGGCTTCAGGCCTCATTGGGGATATGGCATTTACATGACACACACCTGAACGTGGCTGAAAACTGCGCTGAGCCTGCCCCAAACCCAAAGAGCTGGTACAAAAAAAGCAGTGAAAAGCCGCTTCTTGCTGGTGGCTGGTACTCCTTGTCAGTGGCTGGATGGTGGCTGGATCAGGGCCGGGCATGTGTAGTTGCTGCGGCCCCAGCACGATTAGTGTTGGCGGCATCAAGCTGTGGTCTCTGTGTTCAAACATTCCTGGTGAAAACAGGAAAACTCAAGTTTTGGAGAAATAAAGCAGCAAGAACAGCCCTTGCACTGGTGTAAATATCCATGAGTTGGGATTTCCATTGCTGCACAAATCAAGAGATTATCCTGCTAGTTAATGAACTAAGTTCTGTTATAGTCTGGAGGAGAAGATCAGAAGTATCCCAAGCTAAGATAACATCAGATACTCAAAATCAAAGTCAAAGCAAACAGGCACTCTGTAGCAGGAAGTATAATCTCCAGTACTACATCAGTTTCTCCAAATGTATTGATCTCACACTTCTTCACCCCCATCAAATCCACAGCTCAAAATTATGTCTCTGATCTTCAACATTTAGACCACAACACTGGTTCTGAACTGTTTCTCTAGGAATAGCACTTTCCCATTAGGACTGTGTTTCTAAATCCAAAACAAGTACTTTCCAGCAATCTGGAAATCATCGTACCTTATGACCTCTCATCAATTGCCGGCCTGCCAGCCCAACTATCAGCAACAGCAGAGGCCTTGGAGTGGACTCAGGAGCCCGGCGGTGAGCACTTTGGCCCCCCCTTCCCTCGGAACACCTGGCCCTGAGAGAGCCTTTAAAGCCGGCCTGCCAGCCCAACCATTGGCAACAGCAGCGGCCTTGGAGTGGACTCAGGAGCCAGGTGGTAACACCAGTGCCAGCGGGGCCGGGAAGAGGCTTGGGCAGAACCTATAAGACCTGCCTGTCTCCCACTCTCCTGCCAGCACAGCAGCAGTAACACCAGCGCCAGCGGGGCCGGGAACAGGCTTGGGTGGAGCTTATAAGACCTATCATTGGCACGCTGAGAATTAGGATAGGACTTTTGTATTAAGTGGCCCAGCTCTGTCACCATTAGGTTGCCACGGGAGCTGGGTTAAAACTGTTGGGTATGAGTGGGGTATTAGTTACCCAAGTCCTCCCCTCGACCAGAGGGCAGTGCTGAGGGTTACGTGGCCCTATTATCCTCTTTATTAGTTGAGGCTGGGAATGGTGTGGGGGCAGAAATTGGAGTTGTGCTGGGGAAAGAAAGGTATGGTTGGAATGGAGTGAATAGATGTTACAAAAGAAGGCGGGATTGCTGTCTGAAAGCTATCCCACCTTCAGTTCACTCTGTTTCCCAGAATGGATTGGAGAGCATACCAACCATTTCACAGAACCTTACTCTGCTCCTTTGAAATGTCAGGTCAGTTAAAAATAAAACTCATATTATTTATGATCTTTTGTTAGATGAGGATGCTGACCTGGCTTGCTTCACAGAAACC